ATTGGAGATTAACCTCTCGAAGACGAAACGGATGCGAAACGAGCACTGCGCCTAGGGTTCTGGCGACGTGAATGTCAAAGAATGAGAAGAAGTCACCAGATATGTTCATCTATGCCGTCAGATGGACCGCATGAACTCATTAATAGAAAAATCAACACAATATGAAAGGCTGCATGGGTCGGCTGTAGTCGAAATAAAACATCACTGCTCAACGGTGTTGCTCAAGAGAGAAGAAAAAACTGCTCGACTAAATCGTCCTAACGGCCTTGATCTATGGCGCTGAATGTTGGACTCTTACAGCTGAAGAGAATAAGCTGGTGGTCACACAAAGAGCCACGGAGCGAAAAATGTGCAAGGTGTCCCTCCGCAACCCCCCCCAGAGCACAATCCGACAACAGACTGGATTAACAGATGCAATTTCTGCTGCCTTCTACGACGTCAAGAGGGATGACCCGTCATGTGGTTCATCTGAGAGACATCTAGTGAACGTTAAGAATCACAAACCGGGTTCCGTTGGACCAGTAAACTCGATTCAGTCGCCTAAGAATACGTCGGTAAGATCCGATGGGCAAATCACTTGTTCAGCGGTGGAGGTAGAAAGCCGAAAACAGAGAATACTGGAGGCGCATTAACTTGAATTCATAGCGCACTAATAACAAAGACAAGTCGGATAATGGATAATTGATTACTTTAGAAACGTTTGATACATCTGGTTGTGTCAAGTTCGAAGAACACTAACAGTGGTTCAGTCGAAATATCATACTTCGTAACAGTCAGAAAGTAAACTTCCTCTCAAGTAATGATAGCTTTCGTCATGTTACTAAACAAACGACGGAAAAATTGGTTGAAACCAACGATATCAGCCAATATATGACCAAAACGATGTTCCGTTTCAACTTTTTCGTAATCATCATCTTTAACCGCGCAGCAAACCGCGCAACATCATATGCAACCGCGCAACCTACAACAAACTGTAGGCCGCCTGAGGTCTGTGAAGTTCATTCATATTTTAATGTGAAGCATTTTGAAAATGGGAGATGTTCACTGTTGGTATTTCCTCCCAACTAAAAGTTTAGTTTGCAACGTGTTGAAACAGTAAAGATCAGAGAGAGATGATCAGCTGGGGCATATTTAGATTAATCACTTCTATCAATGGTTTATAGATGTCTTATAATGCACGTTTTTATTCTTAAAAATTATTCAGAATGTTTAGCTGAGTCGTTCACTGGCCGGAAAGGTACCATCGATCAAAGCCTATTTGATTTTAACATCCATCACCGCTTTCTCTCGATACGCACGTTTGTTCTCTATGCGCGATTTACTGTCATAAGCTTCCATGTCACATGCTGGCTCGTCCTCCAACCTGAATCGATGTCTTACGATTAAACACTTGCCACCATTTAGCACAACTTCATCACTTCCGAAATCCAGGTGTCATCTTTCAATGGTGCAGTACGACCTGCTCGTCGTCCTTTTTTTTCCACAAGACAGAGACAATGTCTTTCGTTCTTATATATTCACCCCGCAGTCTGACCCTGATCGAAATTTCAACCATCCTTTTTTCAACTGCTAGTTGCTGCACTGTGAAGGTTTTAATAATTATTTGTTAAAGCCCAGATTTCGCATATGGTTGCAGTAAATGATGTGCTTTTATACAGTACAGCTCTTACTGCAGTGGGCACTTTTCAATATAAGCGTTTCTTGTAGATGTGCTCTATGTTGCAGGGCACCTCTTAGTGATCTCTGGAAAGAAGGAATAGCCTGAGGCAATTAGCTGCCCCAAACTAACATACTCAGTGAATATGATAATCATCTACGACTACCATAGCTAGTCATACGAAGTCATCTCCCGATACCTTGGCCTTCGCGCCGTTTGTCGATAACTACGCTCGCAGGTTCTTTAATACTGGCTCGCTTGGCATGTCTTCAACTTATTTTGCTTACCTCCTCACAGCACGGAATCGTCAACAAAATCGAAGATGAATTAACCGCTTGTCGTTGACTACTTAAAAACCTCCAGTTCATTTTGCGATGCACTGCTTTGAGAAGCAGTAAACAGTTTGGGCGACAGAGTGTCTCACTGGCGAATGGGGCGATACAACATGCGAATACACTTCTCTGAATCAGACTTGCTTAGGAAGAGAAATACGAACGATCTGTGCCGTAAAAGTGAACAAAACCGATGTTGATCTGAGATATCATTTCAAACGGGCCAAACGTCATAATCTGGGCAAACTGCGCCACTTAAGCTTTCTTAGTCAGCGATGACATCATAGCAACAACGTACGCACACTCAAAACCGTCAAATTAACTAATGAGCAAAGCATGCGATCCGGGTTAACGACATGAAAGTAGCCAACACGATAACGTGTTAAATGCAAGCAGATGCTAAATTAGAATGCTGAAGAACCAGAAAGAGAATAGAAAGAAGATGCATTAATATTTTTCATGACCTAAAGCAATTAAACGAAAAAAAACGTGATAAAAACATGGCCCTTCATCTCATCGAAAGTCACAAACGTATGCCAGGCATAGAAAGAAGTTCTTACGCATATCGCGCGAGCAAACAGATGATATGCACAAGAAAAAGCATCTAATTCATTCAAAGTTCTGGAGAGAAAATAATAGATTCACAACGCAACAAAACTCCAAGATCGTCGAAGTCAGCCTTCTTTGAGGTTGTTTGACCTGTTATTATTCGTCTGTGGGGCGAATCCTTTCCCTGTTTCCGCTTTCCACGTTTCAGAAGACCAGATTATCACCTGAAGATCAGAAAAACTAGAAGAGAGTCGGCGCTACGCCTGGACATCGGACAATAACTAATTTGAAGCTGCTTGAAGTCGGTCCCTTGGCATAAACATTTCCATAATGAACGTTATTTCTGCCATTCAGCGGCTCTATTCGTTCGCTTGGTGGCGAATTTTTCGACAAGCCTCGAACTGACGCGATATTTTGACAAGCCTCGAACAACCTCTCCTTCGAATTTGGACGAATCACCTGTGGCCATTGTTCGCAAGCTACTGATATCTTCGCCTGCTTACTCACACTCCAGGAACCTTGGAACGGTGTTAATATTTCACTACTTCCAGGAATTGTGCACATCATGTAGATCACGTGGTGAAAAGAAGTACAGAAAATGCAAAAACGACTTACTGACACTTAAACTGATTATGACCCTCTCACCTTCCAACTTCTCGGATAAGGAGTGAAGACCACAACCGACGTAAGGTTACACTGTCAGGTAATCTGGCAGCAACATGTAAACGTAGAAGTTGACTAGTGATCCAGCTGCACGAAGAATAGCTGGCTAGGATATGATCGCAGACATTCTTGCTAAGTAGAAGGCGAATAAGCACTGTAGCGTGCCAACGGTTCCACTAAACCATCTTAATGCGCTCTCTTCCCCTTGGTTCAAAGGAGATAGAGTAAATAGAATCACGCAAAGAACTCAGGCCACAGCTTGTTGTCGCAACGGACCTAAAGACGACTTCGCGCTTTTGTTTGTTTGCTCTGTTTGTTTTAATGTTAAGGAGGTCGGCTAACGCAGCTGTTTATATGGACCATTATTATTTAGTTTGCGCAAAATGTTTATTTATTTATACTGAAAAGGCAAGATTACTGAGCAATCCTGTTCAAACAGTATGCTTTCAACCTGTAAACGGAATCGATCAAAGTCTCAGAGAAAGATGTACGCAAAGCAGACCTTGACGTTGGGAAATCGTCTGTTTTAGCATTCACTGCCCAGTTACAGCTTAGTTCACGCAACTACCGAAATTTTGTACCCCTCAGTGAAATCAAGAAATCCTAGCTGTGCCTGTCAATTAGGAAATTAAGTTTTGAGGTTTCGCACTGGAAGCAAGCCAAGCAAACTAAAATAAATTCTTACTGAAAGTGCCACGGATGACTGCGAATCATATCTAAAAACCGCCGAATATTGTACGAAATAGACGACGTAGAGTTAAACTGCGTCAACGCATCCTCGACACACAGCGTTCCTTTGTTGCACAGTATGTTGTTGAGCTCCAGTACAGTCTTGATGTGTCTTTTCGATCGCAAGTATACGTTCTCGGCTTCTGTCACAAAAAGCAGATGACTTCGCAATTCAAGAAACTTTCGTACGCGGCGTTTCGAACTGCCCATGTATGTCAGTATACGGTAATCTGCGTACCTGAAACAGACAAATAATACGAGCCGTCAGAAAAAAAACAAACGGTGGCGAAGTGCGATAAGACATAGCATGAAGATACAGGATGAAATTAATGGGTGACAAAGGCGAATCATGTGCATCAGGAGGTCAGTGCGTTCTTCAAGGTATTTAACATTCAAGATTCCAGGCCAGTGACGCCAAAAATATTTCGTTCAAAAATGCGACTACTGCTGAGAAACTATGTTGCGGCACTTACTATGCCGAAATACACTAACTATGCAAGAAAATATATCAGCATAAATGAGCGGGAAATTTTTTAAAGGAACTAGGATTCCGCAGTAGCAATTCGTTATTTTAGTTTGCATAAGATGAGAAAAAATGGGGGAGAAATTGAAGATCATTTGCATGCACCTTCTGAAATTTGGATAGAACGCTTTGTTTGAGGGCTTCAATTTGTTACCGCCGAAGCCCTATTCGGCTCAACGTATTATTCAGTCATCTGTACAGTCACCTCGCAGACATCTGCAATTGCCATGCATGCCAATCTCTGAATACAGGTACCCGATGCCTGGCTCCAGCTGTACAAGTGCCAAAACCTATCCTTAAATAGTTGGGATCATTCCGTACTATAGCATTGTCCTCGTCTTCTGAAAGTTCATCTAACGACTCATTTATCCACTCCTAGAGAAAAAATTTACTTCTGCATTAGATCCAAGACTATTCGTTTACCGTTCGAACATGTATAATAATTGGAGTTAATTATTTTCATTTCATTACTCCTTGACCGCGCTTCAGAACTTAAATCATGTAAACTAGACGAAAGTTAACATGAACCACATAGTTCAAAATCGCTAATTGGTTCGTAATTTTCCGGCAAACCCTCGACAAATTATAGCGGTAATTTCACAAAGGAAGAATATTTTGGTCACGTATTTCTTACAGTTCGATTCGACCAGACTGATGAAATTGCGACAGCTGTGATGCAAAATAATACATAACTTGCGGCAAAATGATGCAACATTAATCTATTGCGTTCTCTGAACTACTGAATGATGCTTTGAAGTCATGTGAAAAGAAAATGAAGCGAAATAAGGGCAATAATTCTAACATTTGAATAAAATAAAATTAACGTCCTATCGCAATCGCTTATCTGTATGTAAAGTTGAAACGCAAAATCTGTCGTACGTATATAAAACAGTGGCTAGGAAATGGTTTCGTAAACATCGTCTCTGTCACTCGTTACGATCCGCACTTCCCATCTCTGCATAACCGAAACACTTTATCTTTACTTGTTAGCTTGCGCTTATTTTCATTCCTCTCCGTCATTATCTAAATAAGGTTGGTTTCAATGCCATCTGTAGGAAAAGCACGACTCTATGCAACAACTTGTATGGCCTGCCTAAAATCGAGCTGTTCTCCAAATAGACTGCAAAAGTTTTCAAATGAGTTACGTTGGCATACCAAAAAGACTTGTCTAAACATATGGCAGTATTCGAGCATGGACATGAAGTACAAGTATAAACATGCTGAACATTTTGCTATTGTGAAGCATGCTACTGACAAATTACAGCGTACTGACAGCAAGAACGTGAAGATATAAGACCGTGACAGCAACACTGTTGGTTTCATAGTATTTAAATCTGCCCTCTTTAAAGCATTTGTCTCATCCTGTGCAAAAGAATTAAGCTTCAAAAATGTTTTATCTACCTCGAATCTCGTCCTCAACTACTTAGGTTCTACTATCTAATTCAGTCCATCCATTTTTAGTCCTTTTTGTCTTTCATTTTCTTTTCTGCCGCATATTCTTACTGATTATGCCATTATTCTTCGTTACAATTATTTACATGCTAATAGTTCTTTTAGGTGATATTTCCTCTGTACAGTATTAATTTGCGCTGAAGAAGGACCACCTTTGTGGGTTTCTAATGCTTCACATAACAGATATAATTTTTCAGGCTCTTAACTGTTTTTAAAAATAAAGCCAAGGTAACACTTACACATTTGTCGAACTCATCGAATACCGAGGTTAAAAAGCAAATACGTGAGAAATGGTCTTTCGATTCTAGACTTATATTTTCTGATCAATTTGGCCCAGGAAGTTTTTGACTCCTTTAATAACGATATCAGAAAGGGTCTACAGAGAGCTACAAACACACGCTCAGAATCTCAGAAGTGAAACCATCCTTTAGTTCCTACACATAATGAGTCTCAAAACTAGCGGGTCAGTCAAATATTTGACAGCTGAACAATCATTGTGTGAGTATTACTGTCATATTGTTATCATGACCACACGTTGATAGATAATGACTGCATCAGCAAACATCTTATGACTGACAGATACTGCCATTTTTAAATCGCCAACTTCTTTAAAACGGAAAATAATAAACCATAATCTACAGCAGTTTCAAAGAATTGTGAACAAAACAATCAGGTTAAAGATATCCAATACTTCGACATTTGTTTTTGCATTATCAAGCCGACTTAATCGAGAAGCAGATAATATCTGGAATTAAAACGGTTAGGTATGACAATTCAATGCTCAAGACAGTTGTGAATAAAAGCCTTTCGCGCTTCAGGGGCAATGCGGTGCAAACTGGGTTACTGTACCCTTACCACCAATCTCTGCATCCTCCCTACCTTCCTCTGATAGCGCATCATGTTACTGATCGCTGGCTGACCACTGACA